TTACGCCTATGGGATGTCCCCACTTTTCACAAAAACAAACCTGTGTGTGTGTGTGTGTGCGTGCGTGCGTGCATGCATGCGTGCATGCGTGTGTGTGTGTGTGTGTGAAAACCTTTGGTATGAGGAACGTGTGTTCCATAAAACCACCATAAAACTTCTTTTTTTTTTTTTTTTTTTGGAAATGGAAAGCATGCATTTGAAATCTGCAAGTTCATTTATTTCTTTGGCATTACAGAGAAACAAATACATCATTTTTTAGTATATGACACAGTTGTTTTAAACATTTTGTGTTTTTCCATGGACAAAGGAGTCCATTTTGCTAAGCATTGAAAAATTTTTTTTTTTTTTTTTTTTTTTGGAAATGGAAAGCATGCATTTGAAATCTGCAAGTTCATTTATTTCTTTGGCATTACAGAGAAACAAATACATCATTTTTTAGTATATGACACAGTTGTTTTAAACATTTTGTGTTTTTCCATGGACAAAGGAGTCCATTTTGCTAAAGTGGCATTGAAAATGCCAGAGGAATGTCAGGGCCATTCCCAGGATTTGAAGAGGTGGAACCAGGGGGGAAAAGATAAAAAGAGATTCTGAATGATATCAAGATCTGGAATGTATCAATCTTTTTCTTCTATGACATCATTCCTTTATTTCAGAACTTTCTTCTTGTAAATATACGTTGCACCCATTCCATGATTTTAAATATTGAATTTTTTGTTCTTGCTTTCCTGTTTTTGTTGGTGATTTTTAGTAATTCTATCAAGAAGCCCTTTCTCTGGCAGCATCGACAAAGCAGGCAAAGGTTTCAGTTTCATGCTTTTATTCTTCTAAAGAAAACGCCAGAGGAGACCAAAGACCAGCTGTTTATATACAATCCATCTTAGCGTCATGTTTTGCATTTTCTCTCGCTCTCGCCTTTATTTTTACTCTGCCGCATCAAAGGGCTATAAGAACCTTCACGCAACCAAAACGCTCACACTTCTGACACTGTATATAACTGATACATCTGACTCGCCAGCTATAAGTGTAAAACTCAATAATCGTTGTAAATAAAGTAATTTATGGCAGAACAGGAAGTATGTAGCTTCAGCTGCTTTTGATATTGTTAGTCGTTTTGTGCGGCCTGCCTCTTATGCTATGTTCGTCTGATGTGTCAAAATCACACTCACGGTTGTTACCTCAAAGCTGTCAACAGCTCGACGCGTCAAAGCAGGCACGCATATACGCTGCAACTGACAAACAAAGCCAACGATTATTTGCATATCTTCTTGCGCTTGTAGTTTGCGTGTGAAGCTTAAGTTTCCTGTGGGGAAATCATGGTGGTTATATATAGCATTCTACAGAAAGCTGTAGTCAGTGTTTATGGACAGTAACTGCCTCCACGGCATATGGCCGTTTTTATCATTTCATCTGACCTGAGTTTGCTGAACATCCTTATTTTCAGTTTTAGGAACATTTGGCCGTCAGTGTCTTTCACTTTAGAACATTTCGGCTCTTTAAGTTGGTGCTTTGATATCTATGTAATTGTAATGAACCCGGGAGGATTTGCTCGTAGCATGCTGCAATTGCTTAAGCGTGTCACCTCTCTCCTGCATTTTGTGCGCCTCATGGCTGATGTGTTATGTCCTGAACCAGTGTTCTGAACTGTTCTGTTTTCAGTGAATGACTGTTTGTTTTAAGATGAAGCGCTTTAGAAAAGCCTTGAAGATCAGTCAATGTTCACCACCGCTCTTGGTGTCGCTCTGATATGTACCCATGATGTCATGGACGCCCACAAGTCGACACATTGAATGTTCTGTTCGGGTGGGCGTTTTGGGAGTCGCCCCCTCACGTTACCACACGCCAAGCTCAGTGACCTGATATCAGCTTAATCATGATCAAAATCACACGAAAATAGATTTTCATTGGTGAGTTACTTGTGGTTCTTTTACACCATGCGTTGGGCAAAATAATAAGCCTGCAATATCAAATAACTCACTGTGATGATGAATTTAGTGATTTGTGAGTAATACTTTCCCCGTTCTTGATCTTTAATGCGGTGTAGTCAGTCTGCAGTACTGCTTTCAGCCGTCTTGTCACTTTCCTCTCAAGCTTGTCTGGATCGCTGGGATTGTTTGTGCCTCTGAACGTCTGTGCGGCTATGCTCTGTAATGCGCTGTGAATGCATTTTAACAGCTGATGTCTTTGAACTAAACTCCTCCTATTTCCCTTGCTCTGATGCTGCTGTTACTTTTACTGTACATCAGCACTGATCAATACAGTGACAGCATACTGTGCACGGTTCCCCGAAATGAACTATTACATAGTGCTGACTTCATTTATCCCCAGACAAGTTGTTTACAAACTAGCAAGCTTAAAAGACAGAAATAGTGAGCCATATCTATTTAAAACTATTTCTGTTGTACACATACAGAAGAAAAAAAAAAAGATTTAAAAAGTAAAATATTGTAATATTAACGAGCCTTTGTCATGTTGATGAAATCACTGCCCCCTTTTAGATAATGAAACTAATGCTGTACATCTCTGGACCTACGAAGACTGTTTGGGTATCATAATACCACATTAAATAGGTCTTAAAGTTGGATTTCTGGGTATGTGCTCGTCCACTGACTAACTATTTTGGTATTAATACCTTCTAAAAAAAAACATTGTTCATCCCAGAATAAAATCTTCATGCGGAGTAATGTTAATCAGTAATATTTATTGTCCTTATAACAAGCTCCAGCTGAAATTTTTATTTCCATTCTATTCTGTTATTAGAACCAAAATTGTGCAGAAATTGTATTTGTGCCAGTTTTAATTGTGCAAAAAAAAAAATTGTAAATGATTGTTGGTAACCAGCATGTGTAAATGTTCTAGTCACTGAAACCTTTATGCAAATGAAGACATGCGTTACATAAAAAAGCCATTTATTGAATAATTGATTGGACCGTAGAGATGTTGGCTGAGACGGTTTTTCTCCTTTTGTGGAGGAGTCTCTAAATTATTGCCTAATACCAGCAAAGATTTCGTACCATTTACAAGTTTCCATTGTAGGACAGTCGATCATACCAATATTTCTCATTGAGAAAACCTGTTTAATGCTTGTTACCTGCTTATGAAGTCACAAATCCAAGCACCAAACTGGAGTTGATACTTGTGTGGCTCAAAACTGTTAAGACATTTGCCTCGTTTTGCTTTTCAAGTTACTGAATTTGAACATCTGCGGTTGTCAGATGCTGTAATAAGTCTTTTCACTTGTTTTTTCTCTTTGAAATGTTATGTGGGAACTTTTAACGTATTGTATGATTCTATATTCAATACTGTGTTGGGAAATTTGGCGCTACGCATATATTTGTGTTTTTAAAAAAAAGTCTGCTACTTGTGTGAAGAGCGAATACATGGTCCTGTTGAACTCTTGGACTGTTGGGAAGCAGATCTCTGCGGCCTGAGCTCCCTTTCCCAGATGAGAATTACTCTCTGGGAGTTTATTTCATAAAGGGATGGAGAGGCTATTATTTTTCTGAACTGTCTAAATACTATATTATATGTACTGGAAAGAGACAAAACTATTTTTCATCTGCACATGCTACTTTGTTTGTGTATGTGATGGATATTAATCTTGTTTTCTAAAGACAAAAGAGAACTAATATGAAAGTTATGAATAAAAGGCTATTTTGTTCTTTACGTTGTATAATATATTAATTTTATCTATCTATCTATCTATCTGTCTGTCTGTCTGTCTATCGTTAATTCTGTGTAATGTTCTATCATATGTGCTATCATTATTCTACCATTTTATGTATCCATTTATCGTTCCACGCCACGGTTCTGTCTATTG